AAACACAATGTAACTGGAAATTGTTATGTATCTAATGAATAGAAAAAGGCATCCTAAATGCACCTTGATACATTAGTTTAAATCAACCTTTAAAAGAGGAGAACAATATATGAGGAGCATGCTTAAGTGGGTAATTCTTTGATTTTCTACCATATTGTGCATCTGCAGTCATCTTGATTTATTAAAGCTAAGGCAGCTGTGAGGGTGAAACGTAACAAATTGTTATCAATATTTTTATTTGCAAACAAAAGGAGTATTAGTATTGCATATTGGTTTCTGCCTGAGCAGAATTTGAAGCTTTCTGTAGCTGAAGCTTGATCAGAAATTGATGTGGTAAAAAATAAAGTGGATTAATTGAAGCCTTTTAATCTAATCTGACAGTCAGTAAAAATGTAAGTAAATGTTATTAGTATAGCACTAATAATTCTGCCATTAACAGGACAAAACTTGCCTTGGATTTTTGAGCCATTTCTATTTTGGGACTAGAGGAGCTTAGAGGTTTGTGATACTCAGTAATTTATCTTTTTGTCTGCCCCTGTGTATTTGCTGAGCCAGAGTTTATAAGAGACATAAAAAATTACAGACATTTAGGGAAGCCTCTTTGTTTTAGGAATTCTTAAACTAAATCTAAACCATCCTTTTGGCACCTCTTAAGAAGTTCCAGTTAAACAAGACTTGAAACTGGGAGGGCTCCTCACTTATCAGAGTTGGTCTCTTACATTGCTTAGCTTGCTTGGGCTTTCTAAACAAAATTATATTTGCTAGTCTGTCAGTTAGCTTCCTTCCTTTATTATCAACCTTGATGCTAACAAGCCCATAAAAATCAGCAGCACTTCTCTTGTGTTTGCATTTCACCTAGAATAGTCACAACAGAATAAGAAGTAATTAAATATTCTGGTCATGCTTTGGACTAGAAGTGTGTTGTTTTGATTGTCCTTTGCATAACCAAACATTGTGAGAATATCTTTTCCATGATTTTCACAGGAACCTAGCAAACCCATGGATGGAAGCTGGATCAACCTTTGTTTCTCTTTTTGTACAGTACCCACCTAAGACAATTGGCCTCTGACCTGTGATGCAGTCACCTGACTTTGGACAAAATAAAGACATCATTTTATCTCAGGTGACTTAGCCACAGGACTTTGAATGCATTAATGGGAGTTATATAATGAAGCTTCTTTTCCAGTTTTGCAAATCTTAGCATTTTCATCCAATCTGCTCCATACTTGTATTTTGAAACTCTACTGTCATTAAGTGTGCACCACAGTGAAATAATACCATATAGGTATTGTTTCTACAGCATCCCTTGTCTAGAGATACATTTTATTATTGTGGATTACTGATATATTAAATATGAAATATTTATTAGATCGCAGTATTTAGCAAGTATGTATTAATCTGGTTGATATAAACCCAGCTTCAACAGCCATTTAAGAAGCCAGGCAAGAAGTCTTTCACTAAGTGCCAGAGACAGGAGATGGTGCAAAGATTTTCATTGTGTTGCCCACACATCTGTCTTGGTTATGATAATCTCTAAAGAAAGGAAAATGGAGAAGTTACTTTTGATTCCATTAAATCCTTGACCTCTTAAAAGCCTGATACTAAGGGATTCAATTAGTGACAAGTATAGTTGAGGGTTGAGTGATTCATCTCCATGTATTCAAGTCTCACAATTTATACATAAGAATTGTATCCATTTCTCGCAGCTTTAGCATTCTTTAGGTAAAATATTTAATTAACTTTCCTAAGAATAAAAGGCTTGATTAGTCTTTGTCAGTGAGTGATTCATTGGGCTGTGGATTTGTCCACCCACCTTGGCCAGAGTCTTCTGAACCCTTAAGACAATTTCAACTAAATTGGCAAACTGGGGGCGATCACAAAAATAAATGCCAAGTTTTGTGATTGGGCAGACAAGGAGAACTTTATTAGTGGGTTTGCTAGGGTCCTGTGAAAATCATGGAAAAGATATTCTCACAGTGGGGAAAGACTCAAGCAGACCTTGCAGCTGACCATAGGGTGCAAGGCTAGAGGAAACCAGGCTTCATTAGTTCTGCAACAACTGCCTGATTTTCTTTTCCTTTTTAAGTCTCATTATGGGAAGTGTCAGTAGCTGACAGATACAGAGAGCTTGACTTTTAGGAATGTGGATGTTACCATCTCTTTGCTGCTGCTCTCAGGAGCCCAGCCTGTCAAACCCAGTGGTGAATGCAAAATGGATGAGCATGACAAAGTCCAGCCACATTTATTCAGATGAAGGATTAGGTTTTGCATGCCAGTTTTAACATGTAGGGACTTGGGCCCTTCCATCTCTTCTGAATACTTTTAGGTTATTCTACAAACTGTGGGTAATATCCACAGTTACACAGGAGACAGGGCATGATGCAAGAATCAAAATTATTGTATTCCTAATAATGGGGAAATGACCCCTTCATGTTGGTTGATACAGTTGTGGTTGGTCAATGTTTCCTTAATCATTCTGCATTGCATTTTTCTCTTGTTCCTCTTTGTGCAGAGGTGCAAAAGATGGAAGGTGACTCACTCAGAGTGGAGCTGTTATTCCAACAGGAATCACTTTCTGCTGGTGTGTCTTCTATGAACTGCTGAATCACTGCCCAACTTGTGTGTCCCTAAAGAACATGCCCAACAGCAGTGATTCAAACAAGTGTTGGACCACAGCTGTCCTTGAGACCAGTTTACAAGAGTCAGGAGGGTTTTGTCTGGAAAATTAACTTTCTGCTCACTTAAACCCAGTGGTTTTTGCTTTACAAGGGTAGTGTTTCAGAGGGATAAGATGCTGTGAGAAAACTAAATGGATGCAAAGTCAGTCTTGTCTCACACTCCCATTTCACCTTCCTTAGCTCCCTATAGCTTCTCCTTGGCCTTCTGAGCTTTTGATATTGTCTCCAGAATCAAGATCTGAGACCAAAAATTAACTTTCTCCATACACAAAATGTACTTAATAAATGAATTTAATCCATGGCACTTCAGGAGTCCCCTTCAGAGGCAGCTGCTGGTGACCTGGGTCATGTGGTGCTGCCTAGGCTCCTGTTGATGGGGTGTTTTGAACAGAATATCCACAACTGGCATCTGGAGACTCCTAGATAAGGAGCAATATCTTCTTTTGGTTCAGACACTGTGCTGAAGGAACAAGGGGGAAGGCTGCACAGAGGTTGTTTTGAGATTGTGGGGCTGTGCTTGGAACTCTGAAAGAGGATTTTATTGGGAGCTGCAGAAAAAGCACATGTGATTTAAAAAAATTACTGTTTTAACTTTTATTCTGCATTTCTTTTGAAATGGAGAGTTATCCTGAATTTGAAACTGCCTTTTGGTTTGAGCTATTACAGTAATAACAGGGCAGATTACCACAGGTCTCCTAGCACTGAAGGTGTGCAGCTAATACATAGTCATATAGCTTGCTGAAAGTAGTTTTTACATGAATTTGGTATAACAGGTCACTGTAGGTCACTGTGGTAGTCATCACAGGCCTGTAAATGGTACAGTTAAACCAGTGGATACTATTTTTTCTATTAATCTTCCTAGAAAAGCCTTTGTAATCCTAATTTTCTAGGCCATTAGGGTAAAGGCAGATTACAGCTAAAGCTGGTTTATTAACTTTACTCACCTTGGGTTTAACCAGCCCAGATCTCCTTTGTTGGGTGCCTATACCTGGAGTCATTACTTTTGTCAACAGTCTTTCAAACTTGTTTTCTTACATTTAGGCCTGAGTATCCTTATCTTACCATGAAGTTAGATTGAGCTTCAGAGCTGGCCCTCAACTGAGCAGCAGGTTGCACCAGGACTTTTCCAGAGGTCCCTGCCAACCTCAGTTATTCTGGGTTTCTAATTTGTGCCCTCTTCACAGCACGCGAGGCAAAGTCCCAGTTTATTCACAGTTACACAGCACACTGCAGTGAAGCAGCAAGAGCACTCAAACTGTGGTGGCTGAATCTTCTTCCACCCCTTCCCCTGTCAGTTGAGTGATGCCACCCTGCACAGGTCCAGTCATGGTCCCTCCTGGCTGTACCCATGCCCGGAGAGCCTTTCTTGGGGCTGCCATGGATCAATCCCAAATTACAAGGCTCATGTCCCCACAGTGGGCAACACCGGATTAGCAGTTGGCTCTGGACGATGCAGGTGACGAGCCTGGTGCCACCTATGGAGCTGAGGGGCAGAAGAATGGACAGATCCTTTTCCCCATGGAAGCGCTTGTCTTAATGACAGAAATATTATTTTTGCACGGGCTTCATTTGCTCCTCAGCTCTCAGCTTCTGACACAGACCTCTTCTGACCGTTCACTGCGGCCTCCTGGGACGGACGGCCAAGCCAAGGCCATCCTTCGTGTCCAGAGAGGCAGCGGTGGGTGCTCGCCCTCCGCGCCCCTCGGGCTGCAGCGCACCCGCGCCGAGCGTCTGCGCCAGTCTTGCTGGGGCGCTCTGGGAAGCGTCTCCCTGGAGCTTTCGGTGAAAGTTCACAAGTGGCGGGGGAGAGCTGTCCCCGCCGCGGCTCCCGCGGGGCGCGAGTGCCCGTGTCCGTGAGCGCCGGCGCCCGCCCGGCGTTTCGGCGCGGACCAGCAGATGGCGGCGCCGCCCCGGCTGGGCGCGCAGCCCCGCGCACGGCGCTGCCGCTGAGCCCCGCTCCAGTTACAGCCCTCCCCCGCCCCCGCCCTCCGCCGCGGTGTCTCCCTCCCTCCCCGCCACCTCCCCGCCTGTCACTACCACGCCGGAGAGCCACCATGGCGCACGGCGGGCCACGCGTGTCCGCCGCTGCCGCTCCGCGCGGGGCTGCCCGGCTGCCGCCGCCGCCGCTGCTGCTGCTGCTGCTGCTGCTGCCGGTGCTGGGCGCCGCCGCCGCGCCGCGCTGCGCGGAGCCCTGCGGCCGCCCGCGCCCCGTAGCCCTGACCCGCGGGGCGCGCAGCCCGCCGGAGCCGCGGTGGAGCGGCGGGGCGGCGGCGGGGAGCAGCCGCTCCAGGAGAGCATCCTTGGCGGCCGGCCGGGAGCAGGTCTCCCTCATCAGCACCTCCTTCGTGCTGAAAGGGGACGCGTCTCACAACCAGGCGATGGTGCACTGGACGGGCGAGAACAGCAGCGTGAGTACGAGGGGCAGCGCGGGCGTGCTTTGGGGTCCCTGCCCTTGCCGTTGCTTTGCTCTTCCAACTTGCGGGGAGCAACCTGCGCTCGGTGCGGCCGGAGCGCGCTGCTCCCGCCTCCCGCTGGCCGGCCCGGGGCGGGGGAGTCCCCGCGGGCAGCGCTCGGGGCGCTGCGGACGGTGAGGTGCCGCCGGGAGGCGAAGCGCCGCCGTGGTCGGGCCGACCCGGCGTACCCCTCGCCACTTCCCCAGAAAGTTTGGAAAGTTTGCGAGCGCGCATCTTGCAGAGGCGCCGGGTGCGCGGTGTGCGCCGCGCTGCGAGGAGGAGCAGGAGCAGGAGGAGGAGGAGGAAGGCGGCTTAGCTCCGGACCGGCGAGGCGGTGTCCGTGTGCGGCCGGCGTGCCCCCGGGTCTGTGCCAGGGTATCCGGGTAAAGGAGAGGCACGGACGACCTGCGGTGCGGGGATTATCTCCTCCAGCTCCGCAAGAAGTCCCAGATTAAATTGTCGAGGCTTAATCGATTCACCGCGATTCAGTTATCCCCATGTAATCTCCCCCACGCCGCGCTCTGCCTCCTCAAGCGCCGGGGAAAGAAAAACCCGAAACAAACGGGAAATGAAATAAAACGTAGCTCTGGGCTTGAGGTGATGTGAGCAGCAGGAGTGAGAGAGCGGGAGGGCGCCGCAGGTGCGTAGGGAAGTCCCGCAAAGGTCCGGAATAGCAGCAGCTCTCCGAGGGGGCTTTTACAGCCACATCGGTGCATAAAAACCTTGCGCTGGGACCAGTGATACTGCATTAGAGCATCAGTGTTCACAACTTTTCACGGTTAAAGCAATGTGTCTTGCCTTTATTGTTTGTCTGCTTTAGACAGCAACTCTCACGGTGGGTGCCACAAAGATTTTTTAAACTAATTTTCAGTTTCAGCTAGTCTTCACTTCTTTATGTATTAATCCATTAATGGTTGTGTATTCACACGGGTGGTTTCAGGGATTTGCTGCTTCTAATTTATTCTTCACTGAAACGTTATATCATAACAGTGGGCGTCATGGGTAAATATTACATAGCACCTTGCACTGTCTGTGTAACTTCATAGTCAGGAAAATATCGTTATGAAAGCTTAAGATGAACTTTCTCCTGGAGGATTTTCGTGTTTCTGGAAAACTCCTGAGCGTTTTAACTACATTCAGCTAAGCTCTGACTCTGCTTGAACTTTGTGAATTTAGTATAAAGTTTACTTAAACTTGGCTCAGTTCAGAGTGTGTGTGTTATACTTCCCATAAGTATGTGAATTATCATCCTTTCTCTAGGACCTGAAGTCCCGGGTTTTTGCCTGTTTTGCTAGGGAGTCAGCCAGGATGTGGAGCTGCTAAGGCTCCACTGATGAGGATGCAGTGATTCCCTGGAGCATGCTGAGCGCTTATGTTAATGCTCTTGTATAATCGGGTGTCAGAGTTGAAGTCAGCATCATAAAGCTTGACACTTTCAAAGGCAGTTTTTGGTTTGCTCAGGAAGGAAGTGTAAGATGATGGTCATTTTCTGTGAAAAGAAAGTGTTGCAAATCAGCAGCATCAGCTATTCTGATTCTGTCCTTCCTCCATTTCTCTGCTATTAGACGGCTGCTATTTTTTTGTGGACAGTGCTTGCAGGCTGTTAGGACAGCTTCCTTGAAGAATTCAGTATTAAAAAGTTGGCATAAGTTCATTTTTTGACATAGAAGGCAAGTAACAGCTTTCATGCAAAGCATTCTGCACTCTAAAATGAATATAGTAGAACCTTGCTAATCCACAGTTATGACTAGCGGTCTCGCCTCGCCTCTCTGCAAAGATTTAATAACAGATGCTGCAGTGAGGGCTTGTATTGCTAAAATGTTATTATTTTTTCACAGTATGCTACAGCTCCCTTACTAGAATACTACCACATAGTCTCTTCAAAAGCAAAGATAAATGGCAACTGTCAAAAGAAATGAAAGTGGTTACAGTCTTTGTTGCAACTTAGCTCTTTTTTTGTTTGCTTATTTACTATCTACTAATTCAATATTGCAGAAGGACACACTCATCACAAATGCCTGCAAACGTTCTGTACATTATTTATACATTCAATAAAAATACTTTTGCAAAGTTCCTCACAAAGTATGGTGCTTACTCTGCCTGCCATCAGCTGATTACTGTCAAGCAAGATAGTATTTGAACAAGTGACCTGTTAATGAGGGACTTTGCTGCCTTAACCCAAATGAAAGCAGCCAGTCTTTGCACTGGATGTTTTACAATATGACTGTCAGCATTTTTTCAGCTTCTTTTCATGTTAGCTAGCTTTGTTTTATTGCATGCTTGCAGAAGAAGGGCTGATTTTAACAAAGGTTTCCAGAGAAAAATTATTTGTAAAGAGAGTTCATAGAATATTTTTTTCTTTATTATTATTTTTTTAAGGAGTGGAAGAAATACATTAAGCTCAGAGGAAACAGGATGGCCTCCAGAGGATTGGAGAGAATTTTGGTGCATGTCTGTATGTTATATTCAAACAATTGAAAATAAGCACCTGATCCCAAACATATTTAAAGTAGTTTTGAATGTCTATTTCTTTAAGTAGATATGTATGAATTTATTTATATTACTCTGGGTTGTTTGCAGGTAGGAACACTATGATCCAGTGCTTCTCAAACCTGCCACCTTATTCTATGTTCTTTAATCTGTGGCAAGTTTTTCCTTGTCTTTGAAGCACAGGCTTGAGTCTCAAAGCTCTGTTCTGTCCCAGGAACATTGCAGCCAAGGAAAGGGTTGTCATTCCTGCAGTGGGGTTTTGGATCAGGCCCTGCTAACCTCAGGAGGCACTCAGCAATCTGAAAGTGTCACCACACACATTTGGCACCTCATTGGAGGTACTCAGCACTTTGTAAACCAAGGAGCTAAACTGGTTTCTTTACCCTTTACAGCTGTGGCTGAAAATTTGACAGTGATGAGCTCCAGATGATCACATATCCTCTTAAACACCTCACCTAGTAAAATAAATGAAGAAGAAATTTGCAATAGGATTATTCCTTTGAGCTCCATGATGAAGAGATAAATAACTATTAAAGCAGAGGGGGCAGCTGCATCCCTCAGGGATGTTCACCTGCATGAACAGCTCATTGAAAGTGCTGCCATGGAGTACTTGTGTGTGGATCAAGGGCAAATACATAAATGTGAGAGGGGCAGAGGTTAGGTTGATGTGCAGATGGAGTTTTAAAAAAATAATTTCCATTGTGTAAATCATCCTGCGCTGCAGTTGTAGGGCTGTGAGATTTTTGGTTGCATGAGATGTCTTGAGAGAAGCTAGGGTGGCTATAAATTAAATTGATCCTCTCTCTTCCCTCTTCTCTGTACTGTAGAAGTCTGATATTGACTTATTATCCTCTTGTAATGCTGTTAGTTTGGTGAGTTAGAGAAATGGTGGCTTTGATGGCAAAGCAGAGGATGTGGTTGCATGATTGTGAAGTGGGCTTGAATCACTGGGAAGATCAGGGTGCAATTCCTTGTTTTGTCAAGAGAGAGCTGTACTGGGAGATAGGCAAATTGCTTCTGGCTTTGTGTCCTCATTACTTTATTTTGTAGTCTAATAATTATTTACAAATCCTATGAACAAGAAGCATGTCCCCAGCCTTTCTTTGCAGTGGGATGTATGGTCAAAACCATCACTGGTAATGTAGGTCTTGCAAAGCCTGTACTTGTCACAGCAAGAATGTATCTGGTTAGTGAATTCTGCAATTAGTATTTCTGCTCTCTGTCCCCTCTGCCCACAGAAAGCTGTTGTGTGGTCTTACTTTCAGACAAAGGCTCATGCAAGTGGAACTAATTTTCCTGCCAGTCTTAAAATATCATAAACTGAAGACATGGCAGGTGGGTGGTGCAACACTCATTTACTGTGGGAAGGGCAAGTAATTGCCATCCATGTAATGATAAATAACACTGAGAATTGGAATATATACAGGTGGCATGCTAAAAGAATAGCCCTTGGTGTGTTAAGCTAAATATGCATGTGCCCAGATTTACTAAAAATATGCAAGCCTTTCTGATTTGGGGGAAAAATACTCAATTCATGACAGCTTTTAAAAATCCTACTTTTCCTTTGAAGAGACCTTAGTCATCCCAGGAACTCTTTTTTTTTGGTGCTAGATAAGCAACTTTGTTTGCAAAACTATATTCTTTTTGACCCTCCTGAAGAATTCCCGTTCTGCATTCATACTAGCCAATTTAAAAAAAAAATAAAAATCAAAGCCAAAGCAGAAATAGGGGGAGAGTGAGACTTGTATTCACAATTGATTTTGATTCAGGGGCTGCTCTTTGTGCTGTGTGCAGACTGCTAAAGTAGTGTGAGCAGGACTTTGGCCAGCTTCTTCTAAGTCTGCAGTTTCATGGTGCCAGTATTTAATTTTTTTTTGTTTGTTGTCAAAATATTAAGTCCATGCAGGTGCTTATTTGTGCAGTAACTTGATGTCGTGATCCCCCATAAACATGTTTGTTTTGGAAAATAAATATAAATATGCACATACATTTTTTTGAGTCCTGAAAAGCAGTGGTTTACCAAAAAGAAAGATTTATTGCATGTCTACAGATACTGCTACACACAAAAACTTTAGCAGATACAGACTTGTTTATATTTGATGTACAGATACTTTGTTCAATTTAGAAACTTTCTCTTTTTGATACAGTTTCACCATTATGGTTTGTAGAGGCTAGTGATGACTACATGTATTCTTCTGGCAGATGTTTTTTTATTTAATTGGTTTCTGTTTTGTTCAGTTGCCATCAGTTGTGAGGAAAACTATAAAAAGCATTGAGTTCAACACTACTGTTGCAGTACCTGTAATGGTAAATGTAGTTATCTGTGCAAACATGGGCTAAAGTCCATTTCTGGTAAGGTTTGGGTGGTGTTTCTGCAGAGTACTCAGACTACATTTTATGAAACTAAAGGGAGCATGAGGTCAAAAATCCTGACAGCTCAGACCTTTGATAAATGGCAGATATAT